GCTCACTCCTTTGTCTGCAGCGCTCAAGGCAAATTGGTGTTGACACAAAGTATCCGCTTGCGGTTTAGTAAAGCGGTCCCAGCTGGCCTATTAATCAGTTTGCGGTTTCTCACTTCCCCTTTTCCTTTCCTGGCGCTCGGGTGGTGAAACTAAGCGCGGCTGGGCAAGTCCCTAGCTGTGCCGCGCCGGCGGAATCTGACAGTAACACCCAAGGCAGCTTACAACAATAAAAAGGAGTTTAAAAGATAGCAATAAAATCAATGCAATTGAAATAAAAAATAAAATTATAATGCAATCATTGAAATGATCAACAATTAAACTCTTTGGAAAATAAATGCATTTTTGCCATCTTGCTAAATACTGGGAAGCTGGGGACCAAACACGCCTCCTTGCCATTTCCTGAGAAGCGCATCAGATTCCCTTATCCCCAACAGTGAAGCTTCTGGCAAGGGAGCATTTTCAGAAGGGCCTCTCCTGGTGGTCTAAGTAACTGAGCAGTTCACAGCAGGAGAAGCGGGCTCTCCTCAGACAATCAGACCCTCAGCCATCTGAGCCTTTAACTGTCAGCACCAGCTCGGCCACTGTAGCCTGTGCAGCTCCTTTGGGGTGGGCAAAAGTGTTATTCCTCTACTTTGTGCCAACCATCAGGCTAGCTGCCAGATTTTGCACTTAAGGACAACACAGCTTTCTATTATATAGATAATAACATAAGATTTATATAATAGTATATAATATTCACACTTTGTTTTGTTTTTCAATCTTCCTAGAGTAGGAAAAGGGAATCAGATAATGTAGCAACTTTGCCTCCCACAATCCTGTTCAGCCAGATATTCTGGGCTGTCCCCAATGTCATTGTTTCACTAACACAGCCTTCTCTTGCTTACAGAATCAAGAGCAAATCCAAAACTAATTCCATTTTATGCACTGCTAGCGACTGCCTGGTGCTTTCACAGTGACTTGTTCTAACTGATCTGTTAGTCTATATCAGGCCTTTTCAGGCCATAGAACCTGTTAGATAATCATCATTGTCGTCATCATAATCCTGGAATCCCTAATCAAGAGGTAAAGCTCTAGCACCAGAAAATTGGGTGTGTTTGAATGAACTTTCTGTTTTGCCCTTAAGTCTTTCACAGAGCCCCATCAAGTTCTCTTGGAGCTCTAGAGTTCCATAGAACATAGTTTGAAAAATCCTTCTCTGTATTATTTCTGGTATTGTTTTATGATGATATATTTATTGGACTTAGCTGTGCATAAAAATCCTTCTCTATTTATCCTCATTTGTCAATAATTTCCAGAGTTCTGGCCTAACCTTTTATCCAAAGGGATATGACTTGATGGGAGTAGGCAAAGCTGGAGAAGAAGGAACCTGTCTTTTCTTCCATTCTGCCAACCCAGATAAGCAAAGGTTACCACCACGCACACAATCAAGCAGTAAACATATGCTAATCAAGGAACTACCAGGGGAG